TATGTAGTTTGGAAAGAATATTGATGATAAAGGAAGGATGGATGAAGACTAAACTAACAATATTAAGATAATTTGGAATCAAGTTCTTGTCAGCCTCGAATAGACAACTCATGTGTTGTTGTTTTCAAACTTATCAGACACACTTTCAACAAATTTATGTTTGTAGGATGTACTTGTCAATGAGTTTTTTTAGAGAATAATATTTGAAACCCTGACTATTTCAAATTATCAGGGCATTTGTGGTCTTTTTCAAGTCCTGCTAGATAGAATGTGTCTGTTAATCAGGATGGTTGCGGACTATTTGAACTTATGTAACTTGGTGAATTTTACATTAATGTCATCTAGATATTTCCTGAATGGATCTTTAAATGACATGTGTGGGATTTAAGTATTCATTTCATGGGTGGGTTAATTATAAACTTGTCATCGAGGAAAAAAAATCAGAATCTGTTGCTTTACACCTTTTGCGCATAGCATCACTTGTAAACATTATGTAACGTCTGTAGGATCAGAGTGCATTATGACTCAAGTCTTTGTTCAGTAGGATAGAAATTTTATGCAATCTCATTAAGTGTTAAGCTCACCCCGCTTAATAGCGAAATAGAAGAAATTCTTCAAAATCCTACCCCCGTGGGAAAGATGGGATTTTCCCCATATTTGGTCTGAAGCGTTCTTAGGTGAAGGGGAGTCAATTTTGTATTATAAGTGGGTTATAGCCCCCTGGAGCAGGAGGGACAGGTACCAATAGAGGAAATCGAGCAAATTCTTAAAAACTTATACTCCTGTAAGATTTATTCTGGTCTGAAGCATTCTTGGGCAAAAGGAAATAAATTTTGTATAATCAGTGGTTCTCAGTCCTGAGGGGCAAGGGGGGCAGGGACATATATTGGAAATAAAACAAATTCTGTAAGATGCTACTTCTCCTGTATTAGGAATAATTTGGTCTGAAGTGTGAATTGTTTGGCTGACCCCCATAAAGAAACAGAGGGTGGGGGTCCAATAGGAAAACAGACATTTTGTGTGGTGTCTGCTTGAAGATTTAGAATTCCTTGTCCTTGCAATATCAACCAAGCAATGCCTGGTGAGCAATACAGGCCTTATGGGCCTCTTGATTTAGTTTTGTAAAATTAGTAAGAGATATGGTACATAGTTTTATTATTAACCTAGCTTTAACTTTCTACCCTTACTGTTGTAGCCAGATACAGTACCCCGTGGACATCGGTGATTGACAGTCTAGTACATAAATATAGACTGTTGTTGCATTGTTTATTTCTCCCGAACTTTTAACTAGACAGATTTTACGAAAAAGAGATACATTTTGATATTCATCATTGTTTTATCAAATAATCTTTAGGTTTATGTGAATCTTTGATAAATAGTTCTTATGGTCTTTGTAGGATAGAAATCTAGGATGTGTATTTGTAAACATGTAAACTTCAGTGTTTTCTTCAACTTGTTTCACAATTGTTGTAAATAAACAAAATGCTTATATTTATATTATGTAAGCTTAAAGATGAATGCACCCCATCAACACAGAAATTTCCTTTGTCACTATCAGGGTTTACGCAATGCTTGTAATTTTACCTCTGTGTGTGCTGTAGTGTTGGGGTAGGTCAAGATTGTGTATGATGTGTGCTGCAGTGTTGGGGTAGGTCAAGATTGTGGATGATGTGTGCTGCAGTGTTGGGGTAGGTCAAGATTGTGTATGATGTGTGCTGTAGTGTTGGGGTAGGTCAAGATTGTGTAGGATGTGTGCTGTAGTGTTGGGGTAGGTCAAGATTGTGTATGATGTGTGCTGTAGTGTTGGGGTAGGTCAAGATTGTGTATGATGTGTGCTGTAGTGTTGGGGTAGCTTTGACCTTGATGTTTCATTGTTCAAGCTTCTTTTATTACATTACTCAGCCAACCATTACAAAAATATTCATTAATTTAAATTTCATTATAAATGACAAATGAATATTTCATTCTCCATTTAAAATTTCATGGGATTTTTTTTTTATCCTGCAGTTTGAAGGAGATAATTTCTTGTTAGGTAACTTATTTATAGAATAAAACTGACCAGTTTGTCTACCAGATCTGTACCTGATTACTGACTTATAAAAACCTCACTGCCTCAGACCTGTATAACCTGATATAGACATAAATCTGAATACTGAATTCATGCTTGAATAAGTGACAATATATATATATACGTTGTATAGAAATAGTGTCCTGGTAGCCTCTATCAGTTACTCCCTGTGATGGCAACAGGGATACAAAGCATCTAACCTTTCATCAGGAAACATGAGCTATAAGCCAAAATTTCCATATTTTTCAAATTCTCCATAATTATTTTGAATGAAATTAAATAGATGCACTTATATACATACTTTACATAGTTTTATTTATGACTGTAAGAATAATGTTGATTTTTTTTTTAAATCTTTGTAACAAAATCTTAACATTTTTATATCACCATAGTGAAGAAATGTGGGTTACCAAATTTAATACAGGACAAGGTATAGGTTTGGGTTTCTTAATATTTGTATATGAGTGAAACCAAGTAGAGAGAAAAAAAAAGACTTGGAATGTTGAAATCACATTTAGCAGGCAATAAGGTATCAGCTTAAAATTAAAAACACAGGGCAGGTTGTCACCAACACGTAGAAGTACTGTAGCTTCCAAATACCAGAATATATACATGTTAGTTACATAAATGTAGATCAGAACGATTACAACTAATATCATGATGAAATTGGAGGTTTTGATAAAACGAATCCTCAAGGTGGATTTTGTGATAACTCTAGGTGGATTTTGTGTTAACTCAATGTGGATTTTGTGTTAACTCTAGGTGGATTTTGTGTTAACTCTAGGTGGATTTTGTGTTAACTCAAGGTGGATTTTGTGTTAACTCTAGGTGGATTTTGTGTTAACTCAAGGTGGATTTTGTGTTAACTCAATGTGGATTTTGTGTTAACTCAATGTGGATTTTGTGTTAACTCAAGGTGGATTTTGTGTTAACTCAATGTGGATTTTGTGTTAACTCTGTAAACAATTATAAGATTCCTAATATTTTAAACATTTTAAAGAAACAATATGTTAAAATCCTGAACAGATCCAATACTGTGGGTGATACACATAGACAAGCTATGTAATAAATTACAAAGAACCCTCCTCTAACTTGTCATTGACTCTCCTGATTTGATCTTACCCTAATTCATCAATTCCCCTACATACCTTTGGGTATCAAGGTGAGAGGGGAGGGACCTATTCATCTGCCTCTTTATAGTACGCAGCGTTGGCTCTACCACCTGATAGCATTTAAAAACAGGTTTTTTTCTCTTCCTTCTTCAATTAGTCTAAGAACGATTTTTCAGGAATTTTTTGTATTTTGAAAAGTGTAATCATTCTTAACAATTAGTGCAGGTATGAGAACGATTTTTCATATACAGGAATTTTTTACAGTATTACAGACACATTGAAAAGTGTAATACAGAGACATACAACACTGCTATATACAGAGACACATCTAAAGTATATACAGAACACACTGCTATATAGTGACACACACAACACTTTATATACAGACACATTAACACTGCTATATAAAATGCTATATACAGAGACACACACAACACTGTTATATACAGAAACACATACTAACACTGCTATATACAGAGACACAACAACACTGCTATATTCAGTGACACACACCAACACTGCTTTATACAGACACACACCAACACTGCTATATACAGAGACACATACTAACACTGCTATATACAGAGACACAACAACACTGCTATATACAGACACATACAACACTGCTATATACAGAGACACACACCAACACTGCTATATACAGAGACATACAACACTGCTATATACAGAGACACATACTAACACTGCTATATACAGAGACACATACAACACTGCTATATACAGAGACACAACAACACTGCTATATACAGACACATATATACAGACACAACAACACTGCTATATACAGACACATACAACACTGCTATATACAGAGACACATACTAACACTGCTATATACAGAGACACAACAACACTGCTATATACAGACACATACAACACTGCTATATACAGAGACACATACTAACACTGCTATATACAGAGACACATACAACACTGCTATATACAGAGACACACACAACACTGCTATATACAGAAACACATACTAACACTGCTATATACAGAGACACAACAACACTGCTATATACAGAGACACAACAACACTGCTATATACAGACACATACTAACACTGCTATATACAGAGACACAACAACACTGCTATATACAGACACATACAACACTGCTATATACAGAGACACATACTAACACTGCTATATACAGAGACACATACAACACTGCTATAAACAGACACACACTAGCACTGCTATATACAGAGACACACACCAACACTGCTATATACAGACACACACCAGCACCACTATATACAGACACACACCAACACTGCTATATACAGAAACACACACCAACACTGCTGTAAACAGACACACACTAGCACTGCTATATACAGAGACACACACCAACACTGCTATATACAGACACACACCAGCACCACTATATACAGACACACACCAACACTGCTATATACAGAAACACACACCAACACTGCTGTAAACAGACACACACTAGCACTGCTATATACAGAGACACACACCAACACTGCTATATACAGAGACACACCAACACTGCTATAAACAGACACACACTAGCACTGCTATATACAGAGACACACACCAACACTGCTATATACAGACACACACCAACACTGCTTTATACAGAGACACATACAACAACACTGCTATATACAGACACATACAACAATACTGCTATATACAGAGACACATACAACAACACTGCTATATACAGAAACACATACAACAACACTGCTATATTCAGTGACAGATGAGCAAAGGTCACCTTGGATAAATCTCTTCACTATCTATAACTATTGTGTTTTATTACAGGAGAAAACATGCACTGAGAAAGATGGATGGTGTGAGCCGATGGCAATTGACAAATGTCGAGACCTCATGTCATATTATACTATGAAGATATTGAGTAATGAAGAGGAACAGCAGGTGTCTATGGTAGACTACATAGCACAGCGTGAGTCTATTTTGTCATAACCCAAAACACACAACCAAAATGTGAAACTTGTTATGTCTGATATCATAACCCACAAGTCAAAACCAAAATGTGAAACTTGTTATGTCTGATATCATAACCCAAAACACACAACCAAAATGTGAAACTTGTTATGTCTGATATCATAACCCAAAACACACAACCAAAATGTGAAACTTGTTATGTCTGATATCATAACCCACAAGTCAAAACCAAAATGTGAAACTTGTTATGTCTGATATCATAACCAAAAACACACAACCAAAATGTGAAACTTGTTATGTCTGATATCATAACCAAAAACACACAACCAAAATGTGAACTTGTTATGTCTGATATCATAACCAAAAACACACAACCAAAATGTGAAACTTGTTATGTCTGATATCATAACCCACAAGTCAAAACCAAAATGTGAAACTTGTTATGTCTGATATCATAACCAAAAACACACAACCAAAATGTGAAACTTGTTATGTCTGATATCATAACCAAAAACACACAACCAAAATGTGAAACTTGTTATGTCTGATATCATAACCCACAAGTCAAAACCAAAATGTGAAACTTGTTATGTCTGATATCATAACCCACAAGTCAAAACCAAAATGTGAAACTTGTTATGTCTGATATCATAACCCACAAGTCAAAACCAAAATGTGAAACTTGTTATGTCTGATATCATAACCAAAAACACACAACCAAAATGTGAAACTTGTTATGTCTGATATCATAACCAAAAACACACAACCAAAATGTGAAACTTGTTATGTCTGATATCATAACCAAAAACACACAACCAAAATGTGAAACTTGTTATGTCTGATATCATAACCAAAAACACACAACCAAAATGTGAAACTTGTTATGTCTGATATCATAACCCAAAACACACAACCAAAATGTGAAACTTGTTATGTCTGATATCATAACCAAAAACACACAACCAAAATGTGAAACTTGTTATGTCTGATATCATAACCAAAAACACACAACCAAAATGTGAAACTTGTTATGTCTGATATCATAACCAAAAACACACAACCAAAATGTGAAACTTGTTATGTCTGATATCATAACCAAAAACACACAACCAAAATGTGAAACTTGTTATGTCTGATATCATAACCCAAAACACACAACCAAAATGTGAAACTTGTTATGTCTGATATCATAACCCACAAGTCAAAACCAAAATGTGAAACTTGTTATGTCTGATATCATAACCAAAAACACACAACCAAAATGTGAAACTTGTTATGTCTGATATCATAACCCAAAACACACAACCAAAATGTGAAACTTGTTATGTCTGATATCATAACCAAAAACACACAACCAAAATGTGAAACTTGTTATGTCTGATATCATAACCCACAAGTCAAAACCAAAATGTGAAACTTGTTATGTCTGATATCATAACCCACAAGTCAAAACCAAAATGTGAAACTTGTTATGTCTGATATCATAACCAAAAACACACAACCAAAATGTGAAACTTGTTATGTCTGATATCATAACCAAAAACACACAACCAAAATGTGAAACTTGTTATGTCTGATATCATAACCCAAAACACACAACCAAAATGTGAAACTTGTTATGTCTGATATCATAACTCACGAATCATAACAAACTTGGAAAAAAAGCATGTAAGTTCTGTACTAGTCTAAGAATAGACTGAAAGTATCAGTCAGTACAATAGTATTGATATATTACTGTTGCACCTTAACCCTTAGGGTCTACCAAAATAAATTCACTTTGATATTGCTCTGTATAATAGTTTAAGATTCATCTTTTTGTCATCGCATCGCACCGCCAGTAAATGTGTAACGCATGTCAAATAAGCAATCTGTTGTGAGAATTAAGGCTTAAAACCAGTCTGACAAGTACCATATATGGTATGTCTCGCATTAGGTATTCCATTTCAGCAAATCATTGAGAGTTCTTAGTCATCAAATTTTTATCATCTAACCATTCCCTGTGTTCATGTCATGGTATTGTCAGTTCTTCGGCAGGAGTGTTTCCACCAGGGAATGAAGAGGGGAATCGATTAAAATTGTTTACTGCACAAACCTTGTTTATACCTTAGTCCTAATGACCTTGACATTCCTGTACTTAGCTTAAATGTCACAGTCTGGGTGACGCTACAGATAAATTTTCAGTGGTTTACGGAGGTAATGATATATCGTTTTAATTTGGACCCACCAGTGGTCAGAAAAAATTACCAGACTTCCTGTGTTAGTATACAGATAATCTGAAAGATTCTGACTGTCTGTCCACGACTTTATTTTGTCTTGGACGTCGACAGATAGTCAGAATTACTCCATATAAATACTAGCAAGCCCTGTAAGGGTTCAGCATTCAGTCCATGTTATATATAATTTACAACAGTGCAATAGTTATAAATCACACACGGATGGGAAGATAGAACACTTTTCTGCTGACTTACATGTGTGTCTAAGCAATCAAATGTTGTGTACAAGGTATTTCTACTCATTTTTTCCTGACAACTTCACTTTCTATCATATTTACAATGGCCAACACTAGTCTCTCGGCTTGTGGTTTTAAACCTTCCAAAAAGTACATTTTCGAGATATTGGTAGGAATGTGCATTCTCGTTTGTAGAGTTTTTTATTGTGTCAGGTGGTAAACGTTTTTGTCCAGATTAAGAAGAATACTATCTGTAAAGTTTTACTCACACTGATCGTTTGTATTGAAAAAAAGATAGAATGATTTGATGATTTTCTCAGTCCTCAACACCATAACCCTATATTGTGATATAAGGTGTTGTAATCTCCCTAATCCAGTGTTTACTGTATAGTGTGATATAAGGTGTTGTAATCTCCCTCATCCTGTGTTTACTGTATAGTTTGACATAAGGTATTGTAATCTCCCTAATCCAGTGTTTACTGTATAGTGTGACATAAGGTGTTGTAATCTCCCTAATCCAGTGTTTACTGTATAGTGTGACATAAGGTGTTGTAATCTCCCTAATCCAGTGTTTACTGTATAGTGTGACATAAGGTATTGTAATCTCCCTAATCCAGTGTTTACTGTCCGTTTTTTATGCATGTGTGGAACAATTTAAAAAAAATTAATGTCAAATTTGTTTCTTTGAAAACCTTGTGATGTCGTCCCTACTGAGAAACTGTTAGATGTCAAATGTCAGCTGGATTGAAATATCAGAATTTCAGATAACAAGCTCCCATATATTGTGTGTGACACTAGACCTCCGACTTCATGCTTCATAAACTTGGAAAATTGATAGTTATCTGTATGATGAAATTCATTGCATGGAAGGGTTTATATATGTTGTCCATACATAATATTTCAGATCAGTTTCCATTTTGAATTGATAGTGATACTTGCAAAAGTTACAAGATCTGAAAATTTATAGCAGAATTAATTAATGATTTATTTCAAGGACTTGATAGAACCTGCTGTCTGTCTGTCTGTCTGTCTGTCTGTCTGGTTTATTCTGTCTTGAGTTCCATCTCATGCATAGTCTGTGTGTCCTCCCTTCTAATCAATTCTTATATAAAGACTATACTATTACATAAAGGAGGACCTCCTTAAATGATTGATGTAATATACGCCCTGTATTCAATGTGACATCATTTTAGACAAATATCATTTATCTTCTTTGAAAGCCTTTAGTCTGAACTCCTACATTATGTCGTTTTTTTAGTCTTTGTAAACTTACTGAGTTTATAGATAATGTATTGTTATCCGTTGTGTACAGATAGAGAGTTGTGGTTGAACAACTTTCTTAAGTCTTTTTATTTCTTTTGTCTGATGGAGAATCAAGGCTAGCATTTATTATACATGTCTTTTTAAAAATAAAACAACATAAGTCACTCCTATTACACAGGTAAGGTTATACCTTACCCCTCAGTCACTGTGTATATAGATACACCTACAACATAAGTCACTCCTATTACACAGGTAAGGTTATACCTTACCCCTCAGTCACTGTGTATAGATACACCTACAACATTAGTCACTCCTATTACACAGGTAAGGTTATACCTTACCCCCTCAGTCACTGTGTATATAGATACACCTACAATATAAGTCACTCCTATTACACAGGTAAGGTTATACCCTCAGTCACTGTGTATATAGATACACCTACAACATAAGTCACTCCTATTACACAAGTAAGGTTATACCTTACCCCTCAGTCACTGTGTATATAGATACCCCTACAACATAAGTCACTCCTATTACACAGGTAAGGTTATACCTTACCCCCTCAGTCACTGTGTATATAGATACACCTACAATATAAGTCACTCCTATTACACAGGTAAGGTTATACCCTCAGTCACTGTGTATATAGATACACCTACAACATAAGTCACTCCTATTACACAAGTAAGGTTATACCTTACCCCTCAGTCACTGTGTATATAGATACCCCTACAACATAAGTCACTCCTATTACACAGGTAAGGTTATACTTTACCCCTCAGTCACTGTGTATATAGGTACACCTACAACATAAGTCACTCCTATTACACAGGTAAGGATCTACCTTACCCCTCAGTCACTGTGTATATAGATACACCTACAACATAAGTCACTTCTATTACACAGGTAAGGTTATACCTTACCCCTCAGTCACTGTGTATAGATACACCTACAACATTAGTTACTCCTATTACACAGGTAAGGTTATACCTTACCCCTCAGTCACTGTGTATATAGATACACCTACAACATAAGTCACTCCTATTACACAGGTAAGGTTATACCTTACCTCTCAGTCACTGTGTATATAGATACACCTACAACATAAGTCACTCCTATTACACAGGTAAGGTTATACCTTACCCCTCAGTCACTGTGTATATAGATACACCTACAACATAAGTCACTCCTATTACACAGGTAAGGTTATACCTTACCCCTCAGTCACTGTGTATATAGATACACCTACAACATAAGTCACTCCTATTACACAGGTAAGGTTATAC